ATTTCAGTTCCCTGACGAGGACAGGATACTGGCAGTTTCCTCTGAGGTTTTACAAAGCAGAGTGTGATGAAGAAAAGGGCAGTAACAAAATGGCTTCAGCAGGCGATCTTTAGGAAATGTGGTAGTTCTTGTTTGGAGTACAATCTCAGACTTACTTAATGGTGTTAAGGGGAAGCTTTCAGGAAAGGGAAAGAGTGTGGATAAAACTAAGGGACAGATTTTCTGCTGGTGTAAAGTGGTGTACACCTGGGAAGGGCTGGACAGTAATTTGGGGCTGTAAATAAGCACACTAAATGCTTCTGCTGAAGTGATCAGTAGTGAGATAGTTAACAATGTTTACATTTACACTGCCACCTTTCAGTGTCACAGTTAATGACCCATTGAGATGAACAAAGCAGCTCAAACCTCTCAGAACGGTTGTTTCAGGCTGTCTGCAGACTCTGGAAGACAATACTGAACCAGTTTAAACTTGGTTCACATTTTCTAGGTTATCTTCACAAAAATAGAGGTCAAATGCTGCAAATGTCATGGTTGTGGAATTGCGGGCTATAATGAAAATTGTATCCGTGTAACTACTTGGGTCCATAGATTATCACTCTAAAGGAGGATTAAATTCTGTTGATGACCTCTAATTCAGTGATATCCCACCTTACTATGTGCTGAGATATTTGAGTTTATAAGGAAGTCTCAGGGGTCAAAATAAATCGTTCCCAATCTAGATGTAAACCAGTGAACAATAACTGAGGTCAAAACGTGACTCCTGGTCCCTGTCTCAGGGGCATACAGTCTAACGTCTGAAGGCCACACCGTTCAGTTCACAATAACTGGTTGACCAGGTATAGGTCCAACCTCAAACACTATTGCAAAGGAATGAAAGGCCTCCCCCACAGCACGTGCACCCGCATGCACAGTCCTTTCCTTTCTCTGATTTTGCTGGTGATAAGGAGACAGATGTGGCAGAGCAACATAACATTCCAAGCAGTATCACCTGTGATCCTGACCCTTCCACATAAGGGAGCACTGCGCACCCTTCAGCCCAAGCAGGATACATCATGTTTACTTCCCATTACTGTATAATCAATACTGAGAACAGTGTTGCTATAACTTCCCAGCCCCTATGATATCATCACTGATATAGCAGTGTAGGAGAATTCCCAGTTCCAGACAGTGTTTCATTTAGTTAACAATGGCTTTGCTTGTTGTAGCTTCCCTTATTTCTTTTCCCCTTGATGCTCTGTGACCTCGCTTTAGCATCAAACATTATGTGGCATATGTGGGATGTGGCATGTAGTGTGAGGAGGCCAGAAGGAGGGGGTTCTGCTAGCAACATTGAAGCAAAACTATAGTATAACAATGGCAGCAAATCTATTTCCTGATGTATTTGGTGCCTATCAGAATTCTACTTTCCTGGCACTGACCTGCTTTCTTGTGGCAACTTAATCATTAGTGAATTAGCAAATAAGTTTTAAAAAATTCACTAATGTGATGATGTACTCAGCACACAAAGTAGCCTCATGAGTGTTTACTGGTTAAATCTGCCCTGCCGCCCATTTCCATCCCACCTGTGTAATGACACCTTTGCTGCTTCAGGACATTTCCTATTCAACCAGGTTCTGTCCATCAAGGCATAAGCTAAGATACTTGTGAATTGCCTTGTTATTAGGCTCTGGAGAGCTCTTTACTATTTGGACCTTTGCTTTTAGGTAGGATTTTCAAAAGCATTCAGTGTTGGTCTAACTCTGCACCCATTGAGGTCAATGGTATGTTGATTCCAGTGGGAGCAGAATTAGCCAATGCTACGTGCTTTTGAGAATCCCATCTTTCCCTCCTTGTGAAGCACCGTACACTTATGAAAACAACATCGATCACAGGTATTGTGTATTTAGCAAAAAATATGGTGTACACATAATAGTATTAATAGATTTTAAGGCCAAAAGGGATAATTATTACCTCTTGCATAACACAGGATGCAGAAATTCACCCAGTGATTCCTGCATCGACTCCAATAACTAGTAGTTATCAGAGAATTTATCTTTCAGCAAAAGTAGCCTTGATACGGCTGCAGATGATGGAGAATGGGTAATTGGAAAGGAATGATGATCCAGTGGTCAGGATGCTAACCTGGGACTTCGGAAACCCAGGTTGATTCCCTGTTCCATCACAGACTTCCTGTGTGTTACTGGGCAAGTCACTTAGTCTCTCCACGCCTCAGTTCCCTATCTGTAAAATGGGGATAATATATAAGAACATAAGAATGGCCATACTGGGTCAGACCAAAGGTCCATCCAGCCCAGCATCCTGTCTGCCAACCGTGGCCAACGCCAGGTGCCCCAGAGGGAGTGAACCTAACAGGCAATGATCAAGTGATCTCTTTCCTCCCATCCGTCTCCACTCTCTGACAAACAGAGGCTAGGGACACCATTCCTTACCCATCCTGGCTAATAGCCATTAATGGACTTAACCTCCATGAGTTTATCTAGTTCTCTCTTAAACCCTATTATAGTCCTAGCCTTCACAATCTCCTCAGGCAAGGAGTTCCATAGGTTGACTGTGCGCTGTGTGAAGAAGAACTTCCTTTTCTTTGTTTTAAACCTGCTGCCCATTCATTTCATTTGGTAGCCCCTAGTTCTTATATTATGGGAACAAGTAAATAACTTTTCCTTATTCGCTTTCTCCACACCACTCATGATTTTATATACCTCTATCATATCCCCCCTTAGTCTCCTTTTTTCCAAGCTGAAAAGTCCTAACCTCTTTAATCTCTCCTCATATGGGACCCATTCCAAACCCCTAATCATTTTAGTGGCCCTTCTCTGAACGTTTTCTAATGCCAGTATATCTTTTTTGAGATAAGGAGACCACATCTGTACGCAGTATTCAAGATGTGGGCGTACCATGGATTTATATAAGGGAATAAAATATTCTCCGTCTTATTCCCTATCCCTTTTTCAATTATTCCTAACATCCTGTTTGCTTTTATGACTGCCGCTGCACACTGCGTGGACGTCTTCAGAGAACTACCCACGATGACTCCAAGATCTCTTTCCTGATTAGTTGTAGCTAAATTAGCCCCCATCATATTGTATGTGTAGTTGAGGTTATTTTTTCCCGTGTGCATTACTTTACATTTAGCCACATTAAATTTCATTTGTCATTTTGTTGCCCAATCACTTAGTTTTGTGATATTTTTTTGAAGTTCTTCACAGTGTGCTTTGGTCTTAACTATCTTGAGCAGTTTAGTATCATCAGCAAACTTTGCCACCTCACTGTTTACCCCTTTCTCCAAATCATTTATGAATAAGTAGAATAGGATTGGTCCTAGGACTGACCCTTGGGGAACACCACTAGTTACCCCTCTCCATTCTGAAAATGTACCATTTATTCCTACTATTTGTTCCCTGTCTTTTATCCAGTTCTCAATCCATGAAAAGATCTTCCCTCTTATCCTATGACAACTTAATTTACGTAACAGCCTTTGGTGAGGGACCTTGTCAAAGGCTTTCTGGAAATCTAAGTATACTATGTCCACTGGATCCCCCTTATCCACATGTTCGTTGACCCCTTCAAAGAACTCTAATAGATTAGTAAGACATGATTTCTCTTTACAGAAACCATGTTGACTTTTGCCCAACAATTTATGTTCTTCTATGTGTCTGACAATTTTATTCTTTACTATTGTTTCAACTAATTTGCCCGGTACTGACATTAGACTTACCAGTCTGTAATTGCCGGGATCACCTCTAGAGCCCTTTTTAAATATTGGCATCACATTAGCTATCTTCCAGTCATTGGGTACAGAAGCTGATTTAAAGGACAGGTTACAAACCATAGTTAATAGTTCCGCAATTTTACATTTGAGTTCTTTTAGAACTCTTGGGTGAATGCCATCTGGTCCTGGTTACTTGTTACTGTTAAGTTTATCAATTAATTCCAAAACCTCCTCTAATGACACTTTAATCTGTTACAGTTCCTCAGATTTGTCACCTACAAAGGACGGCTCAGGTTTGGGAATCTCCCTAACATCCTCAGCTGTGAAGACTGAAGCAAAGAATTCATTTAGTTTCTCCGCAATGACTTTATCATCTTTAAGTGCTCCTTTTGTATCTCGATCATCCAGGGGCCCCACTGGTTGTTTAGCAGGCTTTCTGCTTCTGTTGTACTTAAAAAACATTTTGTTATTACCTTTTGAGTTTTTGGCTCAGGGGTGTGGTGAGGATAAATACATTAAAGATTGTGAGACAGTTAGATACTATGGAGATGGGGACATATAAGTAGCTAAGATAGAATTACCCTCACTGTTAAAGAACTGCACTTTATTTCCAGTCTGAATTTGTCTAGATTCAACTTCCAGCCATTGGCTCTTGTTATACCTTTATCTGCTAAATTAATGAGACCTCTATTGTCAGAAAACATATCCCCATGTAGATACATCTAGACCATGATCAAATCACCTCTTTGTTTTCAGTAAGATCAATGATACATTAATGCATCTGAATATAACTCACCTATTCATACAATCATTATGAGGTCTCTCATTGTAAAACGACTTTGATGATTCGAAAGAATTGATCAGGGTGGTCCAGCCAGCCGTTTTGCAGCAGTCTGTCCTTTGCTAGGCTAAAGCTATTCAGGAACATCACATTGCTCACCTCATTTCCTCCCATCTTCTGATTCAGCCTATCAGAATTCTGCTCACCGACTTGCTCCAGGCAGGTAATGGTTGAAGGATGAGGAATATATCGTTTATTTTTAAATTAGCATCCATCAGCCAGTGCTCCTGAATTATGTTGGTGTCTGAAGTCTGTGACACTAAGGAGTACAGTTGTGATTTATATTATGGTACTGCTTAGAAATCAGGGTCCCATTGCTAGGTGCTGAACAAACTTGTAGTAAAAAGACATGCCTTATCCCAAAGCCCTTACAATCTAGATGGCTGGTATATTTTCAGGGCAGTTTTTCTGGGCTGGTATAATTCTTTTCCCGTATTTGCTTTTATTTAGCCGACAATGTCAACCTGCTTTTCCATCGGTGCCGGTACAGCAGCACAGTCCAATGTCCTCCCAGGCCTCCTCCATTACTGGCCCACTGCACTCAGCAACCTTGCCACCGCTCCCATCAGCTGTAACTGCCCAGCCTCCACCTGCGACTCCACCAAGCCAGCAGCTCACGCCTGATGCATATGCCATTGTGGAGCGAGCGCAGCAAATGGTGGAGATGCTGTCGGAGGAGAATCATGTTCTGCGGCAGGAGCTGGAGGGATACTATGAGAAGGCAGACAAACTTCAGAAGGTACGTGGAACGTTCTCACAGGGTATAAAAGACGCAAGCCCCTATTATATATAAGCACTATTACCCTCCTGGGCACAGGCGGTGATCTAAGTAATCCTTCCTAACATGAGGCACTCAGATTGCCTAACACAGCCTGTGGTTCCTATTGTCGCCACGTGGGCCCTCTGTAAGTCCTTGCCAGTCATTGGATGGACTGTGATTCCAATACAGTAGGCTATGCAGACTCCTTTGCCATGAAGATGTTACTCAAAAGGCGTACTGTGTTTTCTTTTCTTGGGAGCATCTACTTCTTCTTTCTTGGGAGGGATAGCTCAGTGGTTTGAGCATTGGCCTGCTAAACCCAGGGTTGTGAGTTCAATCCTTGAGGGAGCCACTTAGGGATCTAGGGCAAAAAATCAGTACTTAGTCCTGCTAGTGAAGGCAGGGGGCTGGACTCAATTACTTTTCAGGGTCCCTTCCAGTTCTGTGAGATAGGTATATCTCCATATATTATAATTTCAACATTTTTATGCCTGCCTTAGGAATGCAGCGCCTGAATACATGGCATTTTAAGCTAGCACCTTTTTACAGGTGTAGCATAATCAGCAACATTTTATACATATCTGAAGTGCAAAATATGTTTAGTGATCACAACAAAACCTGTCCTGTGTGGTCTTGTGCATTTTAATAGATTTGCAGTAGTCCTTCTTCTATCATAAGAAACAAACACACCAGTACTGTGGGTTGACTGATGTTTGGGCGTTTGATAATAAATCTTTTCTGAGGAGTTGTTTTTAAATTAAATAATAATAAAACAAACCCACAGAGCCCAGTTTTAAAACATGGGCACCTAAAGTTAGGTGCCTAAATCCATTTTTAAGGCCTCTACATAGGTGGCCTGATTTTCAGAGTTGCTTCATTTGACCTCATTACATACCCAATTTAATGGCACCCACACTGTGTAAAATAATTATTTAAAGATTTTGTTCATATTTCCATCACTGTGCCTGTTTGTCTAGCTAACTGTCTAAAGTAACAATAGAAGAAAATGGAGAAAAAGAAAATCGAGCAAGAAGATGATACATAAAAAAGAGACCCACTGCCAAAGAGTGGGCACTGGTGTCTGTCTCCTGTCCAGGCTAACAGTGGATTGCTTAACTCAGTGCTAGAATTCTTAAGGTCTGTTTTTAGAAAGTGGAGTCTGTACATATTAGGGCATAAACAATTACGTACCTACCTTGTGTTCAACCCCAGGATCACCTATAGGCTGTAACTCAAGCTGCTAACCCAAATTAAAAGCCACGTTGCCGTGTGTTCACTGCTGTTTTAATCTGAGTTATCTAATGTGGATTAGCAAACCCAAGTTAAGAACACATCTTTTTTTGCAGTATAAACATACTCTAAGTATAGGAAATACTGCAAATATAATAGTAATGTTACCTACGTCCAAAGGAAAATGCTGTGAAGATTTTACACCACTGCACAATCAACAGGACTTTTGTATATCCACTTTGAATTTCATGGGCCAGATTTTCAGAGAGTTGAGGCCAGAGGTCCAGCTCCATACTGAATTTTGTGTAAAGAGTTGTAAAGATTTTAATGGTGTCCTCTGTATGGCCTTCCTGGACAAAAAATATTCTTTGAATAAGTTGGATTCCAGATGTTGGTTTTACAAAGGCTGCTTTCTTTTATAAAATATATTTGAGTATGATGCACAAAAAATGTATTAATTTAAGAGTCTTACCACTCTACACTGGTTAGTAATTGCATTCTCTCTCTCTTTTTGGTGCTCTGGAAGTTTGTGGCATTAGGCCCTGAGGAAAGCACATGCTTAAGTCCCATGGAACTTAATTATGTGCTTAAAGTTAAACACGTGAATAAGTGCTTTCCTGAATAGGGACGCTTCCCTGAATCAAGGCCTTCATTGGTCAGTCATTTAAAAGAGCTCCATTTTCTTACGTGCTTTGATGTGATGGACAGACAAAGAAGAGCCAAATCCTTCTCTCAGAGGCTCCTGAGGTTCCTGTTGGACTTTGGTGGGAATTGTGAGTGTTCAGAACCTCTAAAAATAAAGCCACTCATTTGGGTGCCTAACTTAGGCACCTAAATCTGAAATTATTTGCTTTAACTTCTATGTCTTAGTTTCCTCACCTGTAAAATAATAATAATGTTTACCTGTTTCACCTGAGGGTTGTGATTAGTTAAATAATGCATTTTGGATTTGGAAATTGCTCCATGTTATTGAAATAAGACTGTATGTAATTTTTTCTAAGCAAAATGTGTCACTGAAAAATAATTAATAATAATTAATAATAACAATATCTAGCTTTTATAATGCTTTTCATCAGTTGATCTCAAAGTTCTTCACAATCCTTAGTGTATTTATCCTCACAAGATCCCGGTGAGGTAGGGAAGTATAATTATCCCCAGTCTACAGATGGGAAACTGAAGCACAGAGAGGCTAAATGGCTTGCCCAAGGTCACACGGGAAGTCTGTGGTGGATTGGGGAAAAGATGTTTGCAATATGAGGGACAGTTTTTCCTCCACCGATATTCAGAACAGAACAGAATAAAAATACTGGGGACTGAAAAGCAGACTGTGTTCCTGATGTGTATAGCACAGCTAGTAGTTTGTATGAACAGATTGTCCCTAAGTGCTGTCAAATTCTAGACCATGTTTGAATAGACATTTTGCAGTGAGTTACAAGGTGATGATTAATTCTGGTGTTGTTTGAAACATTGTCTCATTCTGACGTCTAAAAGAGCTGTTATCTTTTTGATATTTCATTTTTAGCTCACTTGTTCGTTGCTTTGATTTTTTCTTTCTTTCTTTGTTGTTGTTGACGATGACATTACCTCTTTGAAGCTTAATGATCAGGTTGGCATGGTTTCAACCAACGTCTCATCGTGTAGGTTGTTTGAGTGGGTTGGTATCAGAAGCCATCTGGGGATAGAAAGGATTGGGGATGAGGTGGGAGTTGAAAAGGAAATTGCAGAGCTGCTGAGAAACATGAGCATGATTTACTGGTGTTCCCCTTGTCCCCCTTTATCACTTTAAACAAAAGCAGCTTAGATGGAAGCTCTCCTTTGATCCTGCAGCAAGCCTGCCTCTGGTCGTTGCTGCTGGACCATGTGGAGGGACTTGCGTGGTGGAGTGTGTTTTGGGGGAAAAAAGATATCGAAAGAGATAAAAGGCATTGAGCAAGACTTCACTTATATGACTTAACAATATTGATCAGCACTAATAAGCTGTTAAACTACCAGGTTTTGTTAGTAAATTAATTTCATTGCAACAGGAACATTATGTAGCAGGTGGCCTTTAGGCAGGAAAGACTAACATGGGAGAATAGTTGTGGGGAGAAAGCCTAAGCCCTGGGAATCTGGAGAGGTAGGTTCTCTTTCCACTTCTGCCACAGACTTCCTGTGTAATCATGGGTAAGTCACTTCATCTCCTGGGGCCTCATCTGGAAAATGGAGATAACCAGGATAACATGAGGTCCCAAGGTGATGAGCTGTCTAAGGGGGAGTGGAGTAATGTGATCCAGGGAAATGTTGAGAAGGAGCATGGAAGTGATATTACCCCTGTATATGGCATTGCTGCGACTACTACTGGAATGCTGTGTCCAGTTCTGGTGTCTGTACCTTAAAAAGGATGTTGAATAATTAGAGAGGGTTCAGAAAATAGACAAGGAATGATTTGAGGTCTGGAAAACCTGCCTTCCTGTGAGAGACTTAGAGAAGCTCAATCTGTTTAGCTTGGTAAATAGAAGGCTAAGAGGTGGCTTCAACATGGTCTATATGTACTTACCTGGGGAGAAAATTTCTGATAACAGAGGGCTCATTAATCTGGCAACAAAGACATAACAAGCTCCAGTGGCTGGGAGCTGAAGCTAGATAAATTCAAACTAGAAATAAGCACTGATTTTTACATTAAGTGTAATTAACCAGGGTGTGCTGGACTCTTCATCACTTGAAGTCTTTACATTAAGACAGGATGTGTGTCTAAAAGATCTGCTCTAGTCCAGCCAGAAGCGATGGGGTGTCTCAAGAGCTGCTGAGTGAAGTTCTATAACTTGTGTTATGGCAGAGGTCAGGCTGGATGATCATAATGGGCCCTTCTAGCTTTGAAATCTATGCCTACTTTGTAAGGCACTATGATATCTTCAGAGGGAAGGCACTGTTGGGGTGTTATGTATTATTATAGAGTAAAAACCAACTAATTGAAGCATTGGTTTGATTCTGCAAAACTTGCAAGAACAGGCTTTCTCTTGAGATTTCTAGTAATTGTCATCCCATCCAAAACAGCCTTTCTTGTTAGATTTTGGTCCAAATTTTGGTTACAGAAGATGGAAAAAAAAAGTTGTCCTGACGTTTTTGAACTGCAGTAAAGATTCGGGTTGAATTTTGGACAAAGATTCTATGGGGTGTCTTATTTTATCCAAGCATGTTTGCCCATTGCCAGTTGGAAAGTAAACGATTGCTGATACCTCCAGTCTTAGTGCAGGAAAGAGTAAAAAATAAACTCTCTTCCTGTACAAGGTGGTTTTCTTACAGCAACAAAGTAATGTGGCAAGGTTTATTCAGAGTTATTTTGAGCTTGCAGTCTCTTGTGCTCGAAATGCTACTGTTATTTTGGTGTGTCTGAGTTGTGCTAAAGAGAAAGGCCACCTTTTAAAGATGATATTAGCTGAAAAATAATGCTGCTTCCTGGAGTTCTTGCTTTTTAAAAACAAAATAAAAAGTCAGGATACTAATCTGTGGTAGCACTAAGACAGTGTTTCAGATCATACCATGCTGCTCACATTACAACAAGCCCATTGGATTCTCTGTGTTGTGCAGAATTGGGCGTCACTCGGGAAGCAATGGATATTAGGTAGCTTTGTTAATGACCTTTTAAAAATTTTGAGTAGAGATGAGCAGTGCATGGTAATTGTTAAATGACCATGAAAGCTAGATATTTGATGAGTTTAGGGCCTGATCCAAAGCCCTTGAAGACAATAGGAGATTTTCCATTGATTTCATTAGGCTTTGGATTAGGTTCAGGCTAGTTTCCATTAACATAGATTTATACCCCTGAGTTTTACCTTCACTTTCAGGTCTAAATAAACTGAAATCAAAAGTCAGTCAAAATGGCTGAGTTTCTCCTAGCTCGTTCCACATCCCAACCCTGCAAAGTCACACATCACAGGACTCAGGGGGCTCTAAACAATCACAGACCTTTTGGGGAATCTGGATGAAAGTTCGAGTTTGTGACAAAATGCGAAGCCTGGCCGGTTTCACTAGTTTCGAGTTCCACTGCAACCATTTTGTACAGCTCCAATACAAACATTACTGTAGCTGGGCCTCGTCTTTGCCATTGCTTCAGCTGGCAGCATCAAGTCCAAGCAGCATCAGAGAGTGCCCTAACTCTAGAGCAGTGTTTCCCAAACTGGGGTTCGTGAACCCTTGGGGGGTTCACGAAATGTTACAGGGGGTTCTCGGCAGAAAATTCCCTAATGGCAGACAGAGCTGTCCCTAGGGACCCCAGGCAGCATGGGACACTGAGGAGACTTAACCTTCAAGACTCCTTATAAGAAATGGAAAGGGAGGTGGATATTTTTTGCTGTTTTTAAAAATAAATAGGCAGCTAGTATTGTTTTTAAAATTATTATGAAGAACAAGTTTAAGCTTTGTTGTAACGTGCGTTGTTTGCTTGGACTGCTCAAGACCTGAATGCTTGTGTAGGAGGAACTCTTTGAGTTGGCTTCTTAAATACCTTCATGCTGTTTCACATCTGATACTCCTTGATGAAACATAGGAGCCTTGTCTTATAACAGGCTTATTCAAAGTGATACAAGCTACAAAAGTGAGATCTTGGAAGAGTGTTGCCATTTTAATAATGCAATAAAAATACTGTAATGATAAATAATAATTAATAATACATAGTGTGTAATAAACATGTCACAAAAACAAATTTTATATTTCCAAGATCTCTGCTTTTATAATTTATACTCAAGTAAAGGAGAAAATCCCTGGAAATATTCATTTTTAAGAGGGGGTCCACGAGACTTGACATTTTAGTGAAAGGGGTTCACAGGTTGTTAAAGTTTGGGAACCACAGCTCTAGAGTTTTCATGCCAGATGGGCTCTATTATAAGGAGAGATGGGCCCAGACCCAAAATTGCCAACCCCAAGTGTCCAAAAATCCTGAGTCAGGCCCTGAATATGTTGAGATTGGCTAAAATCTCATGAGATTGTAACAAATGATGAATTTGGGTTCTTTTAATTTGCCTCCCGATTTTTGAGCCATTAGGGTTCTTGTTTTCCTGCTTTTCTCCACAACCATGAGGTGTATAAATATAAGGCCAGATACTCAGTTGGTGTAAATCAGCATAGCACCATTTACTTTGCTGGAGCTATGACGGTTTGCACCAGCTGAGGATTCGGTCCTTATTTATAATTTTTTTTTAAATGAAAGCTGAGATTCTGTCATAATCCCAGCACTCCAGGAGCTGGTTATCATGAGATTCAGCGACACTGCAAACCAAACCCTGCTTTTGACTCCCCTCCTAGCACCCTTGGGCCAGGTAGGGATCTGAGTACACAGCTTAAGCCTATCTCTGTAATGGCTTGAATACCAAATCTGTCCTGGCCTAAATGCACAAAAGGAATTAAGTACCTAAAATCCTGTTTTAGACCCCTGAGTCCCCCGTTTTGGGGCCACTGCGATGTACTAAATTCCTGCTGAATCCTGTACGCACCTAAACTTGTTCAGCGCCTAAGTTTTGGCAGTAGAAATTGCCAAGGCACCTATGTCTTTGCCTCTGAGCTATTGTATGCTGCCTCCCTCTAGGTGTCTGGGTGTCCTAACCACCAGGGTAGAGTCATTCTTATGCTTGTGCTCGCTCTCTGGCACAAATAATGAGAGACAGACAGAGATCTGTATCTCAGGGTCCAATCTCCCTGCTTCAGTGACGCTAATTATTTAGCCACAGTGCAACAGTTTCCACTGGAGAGACTGAGGAAGCCCCACATTCAGAATATCCCATAGCCCAGTGGTTAGAGCACTCACCTAAGAGATGGTAGTTCCTTGTTCAAATCCCCTTTCTCCTTCAGGTGGAGGTGGGCTTTAGCCAGGGGTCTCCTACATCCTAGGTGAGTACCCTAGCCACTCTCCTCCTCCTTACTAACAACATAGGTGCCTACTGCCAAGAGAGGATTTACAGGTGAGAATCCCAAGCAGAGCTAGGTGCCTCCCTACAGCCTGGATTTAGGCACCTACCTCTGAGACTGGGTGGGATTTAGCACAACCCATCTCATTGGCACCTCCCATTGGCTAGCTTAGGCTGCTCCTTATCTAGTGTGCTGGTTTTTGTGAGTTGCAGTCCAAGGTGCCTGTCTCTCCCCATGTATTGTATAGGAGCTTGGATGCCTTCCTCAGGATTTGTGAATCTGCTCAGTGTCACCATGCCAAATTCCTTTTGTGCATTCAGGCCTCTGCAATTTGCTTAAGTTTGGATTGGGATCTAGATTTCAACAGTCCAAGTGCAAGAGTGTTCAAATCCTGGCTTTTGCTTCAGTCCGTTAAAGCAGAAGTTCCCAACCTTCTTACTGAGATGACCCACCAACTGCATTTTGTCTTTTTTTGCAACCTATCATTATATATATGCACCCTCTGTCCCTGCACAATAACCCTAATCCTGGCCTGGTGCAGAGGGGAAGCCCTGGGCGCAAGAGGGTCGGGGGTTGGAGCGCAAGCCCAACCCCACTCACCTCGCAGCCACAGCTCCTGTCCCCTCGGGGCCAAACCTGAGTGGCACTGCGAGCCCATGTCCCATGCTGCAATGCCTGGAACAGGGATCCGGACCCAGCCACGCTGGGCAGGAGCTAATACTGTGGGTTGAGTGTGGGGTGGGCTCGTGCTCACCCCCCATCTCCTCACCCACCCAGGCCCTCCCCTTGGCACCAGAACAGGAGAAGTATGTTTGCCTAGGCCAGTACCTAGTAATGGATTAATCAGCCCTGGACATGGCAAACCATCTAGGGCTCTCCTGTGACCTACTGGTGTTTGGAAACAGTGTGTTAGAGAGATAAGGGGCCAGATTCTGATCTCACTTACACCGTATAAATCAGGAATAACTCCACTGAAATCAGTGGATTACAATAGCTTAAAACTGATGTAAGATCTGAATGTGGCCCAAGACATTCACATTTGGGATCTGGTGTTCAGAGCAAAGTTTTGCATTTGGAATTCATCCCTAGTGGGGAAGTGATAAATCATGCCTCCCAAATCCCGTTTTTAAGAAAAAATTCCGCCCATTCTAATGTGCATATTTCCTCAGCACCCACTGAGGACAGCTTTCAAGTGGAAGCCTCTGTAGCCGAAGAAAGAAAATCAAACCACTATGTTACATAACCCCGTCCCTTGAGTTTGCTTGGAAGCATTTATCTGAGCATTGGCCTGTGCCATTGGAGCAGAATGTTTTTGGGGTGGGTTGGAAGTTGATTGCTCAGTGCAATAGGGATGTTCAAAGAGCACAGGGATCAGCTTTGTCATCTGTCGATAAGAATTCCTATTATAGAATCATGCTGGTGTGAAACTTGGACCATGCATCACCCCGGCACACAAAACCCCCTGGGAAATGCTCCAAGCAAGTGTCAGAATGACATACATTCCTGCCCTGCTTTAATGGGAGGTCTCTCTCCTTTCAGTTTGAAATAGAAATTCAGAGGATTTCAGAAGCCTATGAGGGCCTGGTCAAGACCACCACTAAGAGAGAGTCTCTGGACAAGGCTATGAGAAACAAGCTTGAAGGAGAAATTAGGAGACTTCACGATTTCAACAGGGATCTCCGTGGTATGTTAAGTTCTTTACACATTTTTTCGCCCTAAGGGACATGCTGTATCATTCCTCAATTGTCAAGCTCCTAATCACCAGCCTCAGACTTTAGACAAACTGATTTTCATGTGTTTTAGGTAAACTGCTTTAGAAATCAAGTTCTGTTTGTTGGTAAAGGATAAAAATGCTCTTATTTTCCAAGTTACAAACAAGTCCCCCAGCAAACTACATGAGACAACTTTAAGCATTGGATTGTTGTTCTAATTCTTAAAACACCAATTTAACCTCAAGACCAAAATTATAAACTCTGCAGTAAACATCTAAAGGTTATTCTACCCAGTCTACAAATCTAATCTGTCTATAATGAGCTCAACAGCAAGGTATATAATATAATGTAATATGTAATATGAAATATAAGCCTCAAATAGGACTGTCGATTAATTGCAGTTAACTCACATGATTAACTAAAAAAATTAATCACGATTAAAAAAATCATCGTGATAAATCACAGTTTTAATTGCACTGTTAAACAATAGAATACCAATTGAAATTTATTAAATATTTTTGGATGTTTTTCTACATTTTCAAATATATGATTTCAACTACAACACAGAATACAAATACAGTGCTCACTTTATATTATTTTTATTACAAATATATTTGCATTGTAAAAATGATAAACAAAAGAAATAGTATTTTTCAATTCACCTCATACAAGTACCATAATGCAATCTCTTTATCATGAAAGTGCAACTTACAAATATAGACTTTTTCCTTACATAACTCCACTCAAAAACAAAACAATGTAAAACTTTAGAGCCTACAAATTCACTCAGTCCTACTTCTTGTTCAATCACTAAGACAAACAAGTTTGTTTACATTTACGGGAGATAATGCTGCTGGCTTCTTATTTACGTCACCTGAAATTGAGAAGAAGGTATTCGCATGGCACTTTTGTAGCGGGCATTGCAAGATATTTACATGCCACATATGCTAAACATTCGTATGCCCCTTCATGCTTTGGCCACCATTCCTGAAGACATGCTTCCATGCTGATGATGCTCGTTAAAAAAGTAATGCATTATTAAATTTGTGACTGAACACCTTGAGGGAGAATAGTATGTCTCCTGCTCTGTTTTACCCGCATTCTACCATGTATTTCATACAATAGCAGTCTCGGATGATGACCTAGCACATCTGTTCGTTTTAAGAACACTTTCACTGCAGATTTGACAAAATGCAAAGAAGATACGAATGTGAGATTTCTAAAGGTAACTACAGCACTCGACCCAAGGTTTAAGAATCTAAAGTGCCTTCCAAAATCTGAGAGGGACAAGGTGTGGAGCATGCTTTCAGAAGTCTTAAAAGAGCAACACTCTGATGCAGAAACTACAGAACCCGAGCCACCAAAAAAGAAAATCAACCTTCTGCTGGTGGCATCTGACTCAGATGATGAAAGTAAACGTGTCGATCCGCTCTGCTTTGGATCGTTATCGAGCAGAACCCTTCATCAGCATGGAGGCATGTCCCCTGGAGTGGTGATTGAAGCATGAAAGAACATATGAATCTTTAGTGCATCTGGCACGTAAATATCTTGCGACGCCGGCTACAACAGTGCCATGTGAACGCCTGTTCTCACTTTCAGGTGACATTGTAAACAAGAAGTGGGCAGCATTATCTCCTGCAAATGTAAACAAACTTGTTTGTCTGAGTGACTGGCTGAACAAGTAGGACTGAGTGGACTTGTAGGCTCTAAAGTTTTACATTGTTTTATTTTTGAATGCAGGTTTTTTTGTACATAATTCTACATTTGTAAGTTCAGCTTTCATGATAAAGAGATTGCATTACAGTACTTGTATGATGTGAATTGAAAAATACTATTGGTTTTGTTTTTTACAGCACAAATATTTGTAATCAAAGATAAATGTAAAGTGAACACTGTACACTTTGTATTCTGTGTTGTCATTGAAATCAGTATATTTGAAGATGTAGAAAACATCCAAAAATATTTAAATAAATGGTATTCTATTATTGTTTAACAGTGTGATTAATCGCGCGATTAAATTTTTAATCACTTGACAGCCCTAGTCTCAAATGCATTACAAACATGTAAAAGCCAAATTTTCAAAGAACTTCCCATTGAATAGGCAACATTGGTAGACACCCTTTTGTGAGTGCAAATGGATGTGCACGTTGTATAATTGTGTGCCTATCCACTGAGTATGCACAGATTCCTCTTTGTGCACTTGTCCAATGAAGGCCCTTTAAAAATGGAGTCATGATTTACTCAGCACAGCTGGAGGTTGGTAAGTTTGACTATCACCATTTTACAGATGGAGAAATGGAAGTGAAGAGGCAGTAAGGTTAGAGCCAATGGAGCAGTGGGGTCCAGGGAGGTAGAATGAGTAGTGCCTGTGTGGTGGAGGAGGGTATCACGTGTCTCTTTAAGGGGAATCACAGTTCAAAGCAGCACTGTTGCTACTCTGGTACTAGCTACTGGTCAGGAGTGAGGCTATCCCCTTTGTGGAGTACAGCACTACCAGCCACAGCCCTTGCACTTACAGGGTGAGGTTCACCCTTGTACAGAGGCTGGCACAATGCTTAGGCACCATTTCATTGCCCCATCGTCCTCCAAATAGTTCTTAATTGGGGCTAAAGCATAGGCCTTGTGCTGGCCCTCAGCCTGGAGCTGAATTTCACCTGGAGACCACAAGCAGCCACATTAGAGTACTTCGTACCATGATCCACAGTGCTGCAGGCATTCAGGTCTCCTATTTCCTGTACTGTTAAGTTCAGCCTTTCATCTCCTGAAGCTCGACAAATTCAAACAGGAAATAAGGGGCACTCTTTAACAGGGAGGTCAATTAACCATTGGAACACATTACCCAGGGATGTAGTGGATTCTTCTTCACTTGACAGCTTTAAATCAAGTCTTTCTCAAAGAGATGCTCTAGCTCAGTGTTTCTCAACAACTGGTCCGTGGACCAGCGCCAGTCCCTGAGATCTCCCCGACAGTTTAGGAAGGCAACAAACTGGTCCCAGGTATCAAAAAGGTTGAGAGACACTGCTCTAGCTCAACCACAAGTCATTGGGCTTGAGACAGGAATCACTGGGTGAAACTCTGTAGCCTGTGTTATGCAGGCAGTCTAACTCAATGATATAACGTTGCTTCTGGCTTTCAAATCTATGAAGGGCTGAACTCTGCCAACCAATAAACATCTTCTTACCAACCCGAAACTAAAAGATTGCTCTTCTGTAGGAGTCCAGGGCTCATCCCTCACTGTTTGATATATACCTCAGCCTCTTTCATTTTAGTATCTCCCTTTTGAGCTTCTATTTATACCATGCTGCTGGCATGTATTTTCTTGGTTGTTGGCCTATAATTTTATATACGTATATTTATACTTAAAGTATTTCCTGTTTATGTGCAGACCGACTGGAGACTGCCAATAGGCAGCTAGCCAGCAGAGAATTTGATGGGCATGAAGATAAGGCAACAGAGGGCTTTTATGCCTCTCAGAGTGAGTACTGCATTCATTTCTTCTGAAGATATGGTTTTTAACTGGAGTGGCAGAGGGAGCTTAGTCATCATTTTTGATTGCCTTTGTGGTTAGGTTTTACTTAGCTAATTCGTTGTGTAACCTTATTTCAGCTACCAGACTAGGTTCTGTAGCCTGTTGTTTCTCTGTGCACCAGAGCCATCCAACAGGAGTGAACGGTACACACAAATTAGCTCATTTTGATTAAATATTTACTTTAAAATGTAAAACGTTGCTTGCAGGGATAGTGCCAGAACACACACATCTCAGAGAGGCCAAATTCTTCTCTCAGTTGGGATAGGTTCAGGGTAACCTCCACTGACTTAATTGGAATGACTCAGGATAGATACCAATGTGAATGAGAGCAGAATTTGGCCCCTTCTTTGCAGAAGGGAACTGGAGGGACAGTGGTCGTACAACTTCTTGTGACATCCCAGGCATGCATTTCCCCACCGTTTTAGGTTTCTATATTGGTGGAATGCTCTGCTGTTCTGATACAGAACAAAAACAAATAAGAAATTTCCCACAAAACAAAATTCTGGAAAAAAAAATAGTTTTGGGTCAATCAAAAAGTTTTGTTTCAATAAAATCGCAACATTTCATTCTGATTTTGACCTTTTAAATATTTTTAAAAATTAATCTAAAAACAACTAATTTTTTTTAAAGTCATATTGAAATGGAAAATGAAAACATTCCATTCTGAAAATTTTAAAACGGGACGTTTTGATGTTATCAAAATATATTTTCTTTTATTTCTGAACAAAATTTTGTCAAAATCAACAAGTTTTCTGAAATGTTTCAATTTCTGCAAAACCAGAGTTTTGTGTCAAAACCCCATTTTGATGAAAAATTTCCAACCAGCTGTATCAAAGGAGCTACAGTGGAAACTCAGGGTGTTGAAAACCTCCCTGGTAGTATACAGCACCTTGTCGGATTTGATCCAATTGAAGCAAATGTCCTCTATGTGACTTAGTCTTCATTTTTGTGTGTGTGTTGATGGTTTCCTTGGATGCTAGCATGTGACTATATAGCATTGACTGCATAACAATGTATGCAGGAGGGCAGAGTTCAAGTTGCACAGACAGCCTTAATTTAATCAGTGGATGATTCAGTTTGCAACTGTAGTTTTCTTCTAACATTGTTTTTTTAATATGGAATTTCCTACATTTAAAAAAAAAGAGAAATAGGGAAACAAAGAAATTCTACCATGTGCTGCTATTTGCTAGTAACACTAGAACGCTATACATTGCACAGTGTGTGCAATCTATAAGGCAGGAGCCTCATTCTGTGCCCACCTGTCTATAATGTGTTGACTTTTTCTTTCTTGTACAGTGCTTAATAAATACGAAATAGTTCTAGAGGTTTCAGAAGTGTTCTTCTTCAAGTAGATGCAGCCGTGTATTCCACTTATGTGTGTGTGCTCCCAGTGCACCGGAGCCTGAGAATTTTGCCTCATAGTACCCGTAGGAGGGCAGCACTCACGCCTCGTGGTTGTAGCACCTCCCCTGGCTATATGAGGTACAGTTTCCTCTCACTGCCTGTGGCTGGAGTCGAAGCTATGTGTGGTTTTCAGTGAGTGACGCTGCTCTGTGTTGCAGGGCTGGTGTCTCTCCCAAGAGATGAAGAAGCCGTTCAGCCTCCTGGAGTGTGCCGAGGAAAAGGTCTTATAAGTCCAATTGGGACTGCTCCAGGTCTCGTGGAGACTCTTCTTCTTTGTCTAAGAGGAATATCGACCGGCGCCGTGCAACTGCCAGCATGCGGGATGGAGCAGGCCCTTCAAACTGCTCCCCAGTACCATGTAGAGGCATGGGGGAGCTGATACTGGTGCCTAGGATTGCCAACTTTGGTTGGATGTATTCCTGGAGGTTTCAGCAGATGTCATAATCTTTAATTAAAGATTAATCTTTAATCCCTGGAGGCTCCAGGACAATCCTGGAGGGTTGGCAACCCTACTGATGACTCTAGTTCCAGCTCTGGAGCATCCATGGAGTCTGGTACCGATGCCAGTGATGCCAGCACCGGGTGTTTACACGCTGACAGTATACCAGGCAGCAGTGATCTACTCTGCCTATCAGTTCTGGGCTTCCCACTCATCCAGGACTTTGCTGGGGTTATGACATCCACGACCTTGTTGGCACCGTCTGGGCTTGTCTCAGAATCTTGGGGTCCATGGACGACAAACCTGATTTCCACCTGCCACAGACTGCAGAGTTGAGGCCAGTGCTGGGCCTGGCACTGAGAACCTCCTCTGCACTGGTGCACTCCTTAGCACCGATGTTGTCTTGACAGCAGATCCTCTCTTCCATCTCAGCACCATGTGCTGCATCAGCACCGCTGCTGAGGTCAGTACCGACACCGCTCCTGGCACCGGATGTAACTGTGATGTATTTGGTGTCGGCTGTGCCAATTCCATCAGCAGCACGCTACCTCTTTCCTACTAGGTAGCTGGTGAATCAGACCAGCTCCTTGCACCATCAAGGCTAGCTTCATCGCTGTCCCTGGAGACTCAGGGCTCCTGAGGATTCAGGTAGGGGTCTTTCTCCTGCTCTCCCTCACCCGACTGATGCCGAGAACAGTTCTCTGAAGAGCACTGGTACAGAGACAGGGGCCCCTTGCCCAGAGTCTCCTGGCCACCAGTGCCCTACCTGTATTCCAGTGACGACCTTGGAATCTGTGGGATGGTCCTCAATCTCAGAAGTCACATTCCTCACCCTGTTCCAGAGCAATATCATGGGGTACGTCTGTGGTGGTGGTGTTCCACTGTGAGTTCAGACATCGGCTGAGCTTCCCTTCTCAGAGTTGTCCTGTCTAGATCTGACAGTTCAGGGCAGGACCCATCCCTAGTGGAACTGCTGCTTCATCATTATCCCTTGATGATTTGAGGGTACCAGGCTCCTCTTCTCCCTCAGCGCCTGAGGACTTGAAGGCCGACCAGGACCTTCTGCAATGTGTGGCTGCTACCTTGGACATCCAGGCAGCATACCTGCAGGAGAATACTCACAAACTACTGAATATTCTTCAGCCGTCTTCACTGGGGAGGGTAGCCTTCCCTATTAACGATGAAATCCTGGAGCCTGAAAACATTCTTTGGAGTACTCCGGCTTCAGTGCCACCTGCAGCGAAGCATTCAGAGAAACACTATTTTGTACCTATGCAGGGTTTTGAGGGCTTCTGTTCCCTAATTCCCTGGTTGAGACTGCGGTGAATGATGGTGCCTGGCAGGGCAGGTGTAAGTCTGCGCCCAAGGACAAGGAATCCAAGAGGATGGACTTAATTGGTAAAAAAAACCCATACCTCCTCTTCCCTGCAAATGTGTGTTGCGAACCAGCAGCCATTGCTATCCAAGTATAATTTTATTAATTGGACAGCTATGTCTGAATTTGTACACCAGTTACCTGAAGCCTCCAGGGAGGAATTTCGAGCGTTGGGAGCTGATTTCTATTTGGTGGCCAAGATCTCCTTGCAGTCAGCTTTGGACATGGCAGGTACCTCGGCCAGAGTTATTGCCTCAGCGGTAATGATGAGAAGGTGTCTTGGCTGCAAAATTCAGGCATTGCTTATGATGTGCTGCAGACTATTGAGGACGTGCCTTATAAAAGTTGTGTGCTTTTTCCAGAAAAGACAGCTGAAACCTTGCTCTCGTTTGAAGACTCAAGGACCACCCTATGCTCTCTTGGGGTATATACTCAGGCAGCATGGAAACATCATTTTGACAGTCAGTGGCAACATCAACTGTACCACTTGCAACACTCCTTTGGGCAATCCTTACTCCCCCGATGCAACAAGACTACTCCAGAGCGGGTCATAGATCCCAGAGGCAGAGGCCATCAGGTCCTGGGTTTGGCCAGTTGACATCCTCCCACAGCATCTACCGAACATCTGTTTCGATTTGTATGTCCAGGGCAGTGATCTAGTCATAAGAACATAAGAACGGCCATATGGGGTCAGACCAAAGGTCCATCAAGCCCAGTATCCTGTCCTCTGAGAGTGGCCAATAGCAGGTGCCCCAAAGGGAATGAACAGACAGGTTATCATCAAGTGATCCATGCCCTGTCACCCAATCCCAGCTTCTGGCAAACAGAGGCTAGGGACAACATTCCTGCCACATCCTGGCTAATAGCCATCGATGGACCTATCTTCCATGAATCTATCTAGCTCCCTTTTGAACCCCGTTATAGTATTGGCCTTCACAACACCCTCTGGCAAGGAGTTCCAGAGGTTGACTGCGTTGCGTGAAAAAATACTTTCTTGTGTTTGTTTTAAACCTGCTACCTATTAATTTCATTTGGTGGCCCCTTGTTCTTGTATTATGAGAAGGAGTAAATAACACTTCCTTCTTTACTTTCTCTATACTACTCATGATTTTATAAATCTCTATCATATCCCCCCTTAGTCATCTCTTTTCCAAGCTGAAAAGTCCCAGTCTTATTAATCTCTCTTCATACAGATGCCATTCTAGACCCCTAATCATTTTTGTTGCCCTTTTCTGAACCTTTTCCAATTCCAATATATTTTTTTGAGATTGAATTCATTGGAGCAAATGCTGATTTACACCATCTGAGGATTTGGCTTGGGATTTCCAACTGCCAGCCATGCTAATTCCACCTGGGATTTGAAAGTCATGCTGTGTTCTTTCTGGCTCATGCAACATCATCAGTAATAAAGATGCTACAGTGGGAATGTAGATGATAATTTTGTTGTAGGTGCGCAAAGCAGAAGGCAATCTAGCCCACTCTTCCATAGCCGTGTTGGCTCTGCAGCATTAACAGATGTCATTAGACCTGTAGATGGTGTTCTGAATACAGAAGCGGGTCTGTTGAATAAGAAGATACCACTTTCACACAGGTCTTGTCAATTCTGGGGACAGATTCAAGCAAGGATAGATTACACCAATACAATTTTCAGTTTATAATGCCTTTGCCTTTCGATACAAAGTATCTACACCAGTGGAGCTAAACTGATGGCTGGGCAACTGATGGTTG